GAGAGAGAGAGAGAGAGAGAGAGAGAGAGAGAGAGAGAGAGAGAGACAGAGAACTGAACCTAGAGCAAACACGAGCAATCGAAACACACCCACACCTCCAGTCGTTTGCGCGCCCACCCCACCGCCACCACCGTAACGTTCTCTTGTTTTCCCCTCACACCACCAGGTGGCGGAGGAGCGCGGCCAGCGTCCGGAGCCGCACCACGACGCGATCCACGACCAGTCGTGGTACCTCGACGTCTACCTGAGGCAGCGTCTCGTCGTCGAGTACTCGGTCGAGGCGTACAGCATCGTCCAGTTCCTCGGAGATGCCGTCTTCGTCCCCGCCGGCGCCCCTCACCAGGTAGCGCCACCCTCCGCACGCAGTGTTTGAATCTCTTTACGTAAAAATTAATCGTGTGTTGTAAGCAGGGGTATTTTCACTGCATGAGAGAAATGTTTCTATATAAAGAGACTTGCGATGTCCTGGGGTGAGAGAGTCCTGTGCACATACAAAGGTAGTTTTTCTATTTAAAGGACTCTAAATAAAAAAACCCAATTTATGTAGGGGTACTCTATATATAGAGTCTATACTCTATAAGTCTAGAAGGGGAGTTCTGTCTATATAAAGGTACCCTCTTTATATAAAGAGACTCTATATAACTGTCTATACAACGCAACATCCTTTTTACAAAGGGCATGTATTTCGCACCGCTTGCATTAACACGTAAACTGCATTAAAAACTTCGCGCGTACACAAAACGCGTACATTCTAGCGCTATCGCATGTATTGATGTTGATCTATCGATCGTACGATCGTCCCCCACCACGACCACCGTCTCACCGTTCGTCCACCCGCAGGTGTGCAACCTTCACAGCTGCATCAAGGTCGCGGAGGACTTTGTCTCACCGGAGGGCGTCGGCCATTGCTTCGCGCTCACGCAGGAGTTCCGCCTGCTCTCGGAGACGCACAGCAACCACGAGGACAAGCTGCAGGTCAAGAACATCATATTCCACGCCGTCAAGGACTCCGTCGGCGTTCTCTTGTCGTTGAATCCGCCCGGCGAGTAGAGGGCGCTGTGGTCGCGTGACGTCCGCCGCAAGAGGGTCGCGATAACGCCAACCCGAGACGATATGATTCGTCACACGCTTGTGACCCGAGAGGGGTCGTCCAGGGGGTCATCTCCCGTGACCTCGGGAGTCGTCCAGGGGTCGACTTCCGTGACCTTGGGGTGCGCTGCAGGGTCACCGGATTGTGTAACGCGGTCCGGTCGCAAGAGAGAGAGAAAACGAGACGAGGCGCGACACCACCGCACACGTCTGCTTTCCGGTTCTCCTCCAATCCCCGCCCCGCCACGCCCCGTAAACGAAACGGGAAAACCGAACTCCGCAGGGGGAATATTCCCAACTCGTGGAATTCTTTGTGGTCGCCGTCGTTGCCACGGCGATCGTCGAGACAGTGAGAGAGAGAGAGAGAGATGATATAGAGATGCGAGAACCGTTCGTACTCGCCCTCCTTAGATGATTGAATCGTCACCGACACACGCGCGCGCGCGCGAGGAACGCCAACGTGAGATCGCACGAGAGCGCGCGCGCACACGAGAGAGAGAGGGGGAAGGGGGAAGGCCCCCCCCCCAGAGCGACAATGCGTGCGGCGATATCGAAAGCTCCGGAGTGAGTATTTTGGTTTTTTAAACGTGAAATCCCGGCGGACGTAGGTGAGTCAAGGAGGCGTACGTGCTGCCGGGCGGGGGCGGGGGGTGGGTCGCGTTCCCCCTCCCCCCACACACACACTTACCCTGCGCGCACGAACGTGAGTTGCATGGGTATCCGCCTCCCCCCACCTCGCCCCGCCTCACCTCTCCCGACCCACTACGTAACGTGAATGAGTAGTCATGGTGAGTTGTTGTCCGTGGGATCGACAAAAATAGGTTCGTTGCAATCAGTGGGATACCAAAGCACGTGTTAGGAAATCTCTCGCACCTCCCCTGCCCCATCCCACCCCGCTCCGTCCCGCGTCGGGTAACCACAGCTCGCGGCCACTCAAGACAGGTAGGGAGCGCGTCACCACGACATGATGCAATGACGCTGTACGTCGCGTCGCGTGGCGGTACGTCGCGACGTGTCAGGGTACGTCGCGACGTGTCAGGGTACGTCGCGACGTGTCAGGGTACGTTGCGACGCGACACGGTACGTCGCGACGCGTCAGGGTGCGTCGCGACGCGTGGCGGTGCGTCGTGACAGGGTTGTGCTACGTCACGCAACAGGTTGTGCTGCGTCGTCGCTACACGAACGACGCCGGCCACGTTTCGCGCAGACCTAGCGTCGTGACGCGCCATCGTCACGCGGTGATCTGGATCCCCGGATCGAGGGACGTCTTACGTCCCGTCTCGCGGGGTTAGTCGCGCCCAGAACGCGTGTAAATACCTACTACCGTTTCGTGTTCGCGCACGTGTATAATAATAGACTCTACCGAAACAGCGCGCGCGCACGCCCAGTGCGGCGGCCATTTTGTTTTTATTTTTTCCCTCCCTTTGTTTTCGTCGCCGGTGTTAGGCGGCCGTGCGGCACACAGTACTGGTGAGCGAGATCCCGACTGTAAATAGCATGGTTTGCGCGTGCGGGTTTCTCTGTTAATAGTGATTATATTTAACCAACGCCAGGTTCAATACCCCGGGGGCCCGGGTGACGACGGCGCCCCCTATTGTACATATTTATTACTATATCGTATAGTGCGTGCGCGACATTTCCGTGGCAGATGTCGTGCTGTAGATGTGTTGCATCCGTGAACGCCAGTCTCTTCTATTCTCGTACATATATATAAGTATAGTGTTATATCTATCCGTACTATGTATGTGATTTCGTACATAATCCTTATACATAAGTGGGGCCAGAGTAATATGTACTTATATTCTCGTCTGTTAGTCTTCGCTCGCAGGGTGTGCAGCAGCAGCAGCAGCAGCAGCAGCAGCAGCAGCGTGCACCGCTGGTGTGTGCGAACCCCCTGCGAGTGTTACATTACGTAACAAATCCGTGTGCGTGTGTGGTGGAAAATCAGTGGAGTTTTATATAGAAGTTTTCATTCATCCTCGTATGTATATATATATATAATATATATATAAATATATATATATATATGTATATGTATATCTGTAAGATAGAGTCGTGATTCTCGTTGTTTTTACAACAAACCCGTCTGAACGAGGTTACTACCCAACTAATATCCGTTGACAGCAAGCAGGTAGAGTAGAGAAAGCACATATACATACGCGCGCGCACGCTCGCACGCACACACGCACACACACCGGACATCACTACTACTACTACTACTGCCCGATTTTTTCACGGAGATTTTCAGTGTAAGCAGGATATTTTATTTCACGGATTGGTTGATCAACATTTGTACATACTGCCATAGCAATATTTTTATAAGCATAAAGTGGTTCAGGAGTCGCCTGGGGGTGGTGATGTATGTATGTCACGAATAAATATTATTATAATTGTAAATCCTCGTGTAGGCTGCTCGGTCGACCCATCGCGTGCACGCACGCGTGTACGCATGCGGGCCCCTGCACATCGTCATGTAATCGTTTCTGTACTATTTAGATGTCTAGATGATAAGATGTTGATCTTGAATGTTCTTAATTACTTGAAAATAAATTGGCCATTTACGATGTGTAAAAAATACTTTGCGTCTTTGTATAGCTCTTATATCATGTTCATGCTTTGATTTTACGTTGAATTATCGCGACAAAATGATGACTGTACACGGAAAACGTACTCGGCGATTGCTAATAACTCGATGAGATCTCTAATTAGACTTAAATTTTAGATTTGGACAGATTTAAGGAACCTGCGGTGTCCGTTACTCTTGTGTCTCCCTGCGTAGATAGTATAGTTTCATCGTACTCGTGACACATAGGCCTACGCAGTTACAACACGACTACAAAATTGTATGACGATTCTTAATATATTGAAACATCCACTTGAACATAAGTAACCGCGTTACTGACATTACATACGTATTCATATGCTGGAATGCTACTCATGGAAATCCGCTCTACGATTTTAATAAAAGCTCAACTAGTGAATCTTTCATCTTCAAAATCCTGAATAACTAACTACATCGAGGACGCAAAAAACTTGGATTAAAAACGGCCATTTAATCGACCGTAATATGCCGACTTGGATTCTAGACTTTTAATGAAGACGGACAAATTTACGGAACCTTCGGTGCCCGTTATTCTAGCATCTCCCCTAAGTAGTTTGTTTCGTCGTACTCACTCACACATACATAGTTGCAACACGACTACGAAAAATCGTATGGCGATTCTTAATATATTGTAACATTCACCGAACATAAGTAATAACGTGAATTTATCAATTAATCACTCAATTAATCAATAATTTATCAATTAATAAATAATTTATCAGTATGGATTATGGTGGTAATGTGTTATGACAATTTTATGCGCAGGTTTCCTCTATAGGGCATCAATACGCTAAGGATAAAGATAATAATGTTAAAATATAAAATATATATAATATCAGGAGTAGATAATAGAAGACTTCTATTATCTACTCCTGATAATATGTAATATCAGGGTCCCCACAGCCATTGAAAGATGTTAAATTTAATCCAAAATGAAAAAGTTTCGGTTAGTAGGGGAGTAAGGAAGTGAGCAAGGGAAAGAAACGGAAAAAGGCGAGTATATATAGCAATATAATTATGATATAACTATGTGTATATATACTAGCGCCCGAGAAGAGAGAAGCAAATGGCGAGAGAGGAGATACATGAGAGGAAAAGTGTGTGTGCTGTGTGTGTGTGTGTGTTGTGTGTGTGTGTGTGTGTGGGTGGTGTGTGTGTGTTGTGTGGTGTGTGTGTGTGCTGTGTTACGGTACGTGCGTCGGCGAGCATGTGCGTCGCGCGTGAAAAGAATATTGGCAAAGACGAGAGAGAGAGAGACATGTGTGTGTGTGGTGCTGGGCTGTGTGTGTGTGTGTGCGTGGTGTGTGTCGTGTGTGAGGAGAGAGAGAGGGGGGATGTAAAGTCACGGAAGAGGGAGAGGGTGACGACGGGAAGGCCGAGAGAAGTAACTATATTAGAAGGGAACATATTCATCCGATGCCTAGCCTGTGTGTCGCGGTTTTGTGCCGTAAACGTTGCGTTTGTCTCTGCTGCATGTGTACTGCGCTATGCGTGTGCACATTCGGGGGGAGAGGTGTTCTCGTCTGCATTCTTCCTTCCCTCTTCTGCTTCTCTCCTCTTTCATTCCTTCTCCCTCTCGCCACTTGCCCTCTAGATTTCCTCCCCCTCTCGCTGATAGTATCGCCCACGGCATCAGGTGCACGGCTGAAAAAGTTAGCCAGGCAAATGGCCGTTCTCAGTCTCAACTTTTTCACCCCCTAACGAGCACAAAATATGATTATCAGGCCTATAAATCACGTGTATCGTTACACGTCAAACAAACACACATACACGCACCATTAACGGACTGCGCACACGCGGGTATGAGTTGCGCGCACGCGTGCGCGTTGTCTTATCAGGCGTAGATAGACACTTTTGTGCCTCGGGGCGTTGAAAATGTTTCGGCTGAATACCGGTCATTTGGCTGGCAAACTTTCACCGCTGCCGATTGCAATGCCGTGACCGATCTATCTGCGAGAGGGAGACATCAGAAGTGAGCAAGGGAAAGAAGCGAAAGCCGAGTATGAATATATATGTATATAGATAGTATATATATATAAGCGCGCCCCAAGAATGAGAGAACAAATTGCGGAGAGAGTGATGTATGTGCCGTTTGTGCACGTGCGTCGTGTGCGTGCGTGCGTGGGTCGCGCTGAAGAGAAAGAGAGAGAAAGCGTGGGTGTGTGTGTGTAGGTATCGGCCTGGGCGTGCCGTGCCGTGAAAAAGAATATTGCGAGAGAGACGAGAGAGAGAGCGTGGCTGGGTGGCCGGGGTGGGTGCGCGGCACGGCCTGGCTGGGTGTCTGGTGTGTGCGGTGTGTGTCTGAGAGAGAGCGGAAGAGAGAGAGAGATGTGACGACGAAAGAGGAGAAGAGGAGAGGGAGAAGGAGAGAGAGAGGAGAGAGAAGAGGAGCGAGACGTGTGATAGCGAAAAGAGAGAGATAGACGACTAGTGAGAGAGATGACGAGAGAGAGAGAGGAGAGAGTCACGGAGCAGGGAGGTCGGGGTGAGCGGGAAGGGCAGAGAAGTAACTATAATAGAAGGAATATGTGCATCCGTGCCTGTATGTGTGCCGTTTGTACCGTACGTGCGTTTGTCTGTGCATGTGTACTGCGCATGCGTGTGCACATCTCCGTCTGCATTCTTCCTTCGCTCCGTCCTTCTCTCCTTTCTCTCCTCTTTCCTTCCTCCTCCCATCCATTCACTCCTGATAATATTATGTTCAAGTTATGTTTCGCGTGTAACGTTTTCCTCATTGTCAATAGTCTTGTGCAGGGGAAGTTAATCATTCTTGTCCCATAGTTAATCAGACAGTTCTCTATCTAGCTAAGCTTCTTATCAAACCGATACAAAGACGTACAAGGATGTCAATGCTGTGAACTGGAGCAGCAATACGTTAATACTGAGTGCTTCAAATCTCAATAGTAACAAACAAATATCAAACGAGTAAATCTTTTGTACTCGGATGACACGAGCGCATGCATGTGAACACCTTTACAATTATACTTTACTTATAAATTATCAATCAGTGTTACTGATTACCCAAGACGTCACAGCCACTGATCTCTATAATATAATCGATTAATAATATAATAGATTATATTATAGAGATCAGTGGTCACAGCCCTATTGATGCAAAAGACATATCTCGAATGTGATAAGCCTTTCGATTAAGCACGGATAGCCACCTAGTGGTCATCGACAGTACTGTTCTTTCCATGTACCGCAATGTTATGGACGGTGCCATCTGGCCCGACAAGAAAGGGTGAACGGGGACACCTCTCTTTCTTCTCTTCATTCTCTCTGAGATCTCTCTCTCTCTTCTTTTCCTTTTTTCTGAGATCTCTATCTCGCTTCTCTCCCTTTTCTCGGATATCTCTCTCTCACACTTCTCTTCATTCTCTCTGAGATCGCGCGCTCTCTCTCTCTCTCTCGCTAGCTCTTATTTAATTCTTTCCTTGTATTTTCTCCCTCATCCCTTTCTAACCCTAACCCTTTCTTTCTAGCTCTCTCCCTCTCCCTCTAGCGCGCGCTCATTCTTTCTCTGCTAAGCCCTAATGGAGTTAATTGACTCATTAAAACACTTCGTCCAATTTCATTCTAGAAACTATTTGTAAAAACAACAACCGGACCTCACAACTTAACGCTTCACCCACCTACACCCACTACTAACGTTTAACATCCAGTACTAGAGACGTCACATGCATATATATAGCAAACACAGAAAATCTCATTCAGTGATAAACGTCAACGCCGTTTATTGCCACAAACAAGATGAGGTGAAGGGACGGTAGGAACAACAACAACAACAACAAGAAAATCTCATTCAGTGATAAACGTCAACGCCGTTTATTGCCACAAACAAGATGAGGTGAAGGGACGGTAGGAACAACAACAACAACAGCAGCAGCAGCAGCAGCAGCAGCAGCAGCAGCAG